CGTGGACCGAAAAGGTGTTTCTTCGGGGCTTTGTAATCACACGGGAAATCGCAGCAAATTGAAGATGGAAAGTCAGTGAAAGGAAACGGTACGGATGTAGTTGTAGACAAAAATGCAAAACAATTCGTAAAATTTGAATTCAGCCAGCTATCTTCCTCTGCCGGCTTAATGGTACAGTAAGCCGGGCGTTTTTAGACTGTCCGCGTTCGCCTTCTGCATGAAGGCAAAGTCCCTGTAACACCGAAGGTAGCTGCATGGACCCAATGTTGGTGTTCTGTACAGGTCCACCCATACTAGCTGGGTCGTGACAGCGTTGGAACCTACTTTCAGAAGGCGTGTCAAAGGATTCGTGCTGCTGTAGAGCTGACAGATAGGGAGCCGTTGGGGAATAGCAACTCGCAAGGGCACTACACATGTCAGTGCTGCTGCTCCTGGTGTATCGGTCCACGCTTGCACCGCACAGTTCACTTTTAGTCCAAGCGCCAGCTTGCGAAGCCATCTGGCGATCGTCGGTGGTTCCGCAGCGGTTCACTTTTAACAGGTTTCGGCTAACTGCTCTATGGCCCTTATTACTCACTATTCCCTGCAGCCCTGAAGTACGACGGCAAAAAAACGATGATGGCTCTTGAAGCTATCGGTAATGGTCTATTCGCTCATGAATAATCCCTTCACTTTCGATCCCGTCTTTAACTAGTGCAGCTAACGCTCGAATCTCCATGAAGTACAAAATCGGACTCCTAACTATCTATATACCTGTAGTTTCCGGTTGAGTGTCGCGGCGAGACAACAAGGAAGCTCCAGCAGGATTGGGAGAAATTCCTGGGGCGCCTGTTCCCACAATGCCGAGATTAAGGGAGACTACCTCGGGTACAGTCTGTGGCTGCCTATTCTTTTGGAGTCTTCCAGGCGTGAGTGCTTCAGGCTTTGACTGCACGATCGAACGGCCCTTTGTCGATTTCGTGGGGTGCCACAGATGAAGTTGCTGATGCAGAAGAAACTGTTGGTGCTCCAGCGCCTGCTGTTGAGGGAATACCCCTGATGACCCTGGTTCGTCATGAAGAGATCTAGATACACGGTGTAGCAGCTCTTCTGGAGCAGGCAGTGCTTCAGTTGGTCCTACAGGCAGTTTCCTCTGAATACCTTCTAGTGATATGAGATCACCATCGATTGTCTGGAGCTGCGGAAGCTGCTCAGCTAGGACAGCACGCCAGTGACGCCGCTGACATGCAGGGTTCTGCTGGAATCTGCGCAAATAACGTAAGGCTCCAGCAGAGTAGGATGCGTAGATTTAGCGAGCCTACTGAAAAGTTTAGAGCGGAAATGTCTCTGTGATATGGACTAGTCTCACATATTTCGGTGCTTGACTGCAAATTCCACAGGATACAGAACTACGTCTGTTTGGCAACGACTGGATCCCATTCACAGAAGTATAAATTCGCATGTGCTGCTACCGCGTAACACTGATATGCAGCAAAGACTTGTACAGCCCCTTTTAATTTTGTGGCGGAAACGCTTAGCTGCTCACCCAATTTGTTTTAGCTTGGGTAGCTGAACAAGGTATTCGATCTGCGTAAAGTCAGGTATTCTATTTTGTGCAATTCGCAGCTCCTCAAGATTAGGTAAAAGCGGGAGGCCGCACAGCGACCTGAGGTATGCAGAGACAATTACGGTCACACGAAACTGTTCAATTGCTGGGCTAATTGTCTGCTTTGCGCGTCAGTGTTGCGTTACTCTCCTTTGGGGGTTGGAGGGATCTCGGCTGCAAGTTTCGGCATGCCTTTACTGATACACTGATGCTGGAGTGGAAAAAGAGAATACCTTAGTCCGTTCCTTTCCATTACTAAACAACGGAGCGTTTCAGTCACTCCCTGAAAACCTTCAGGGTCAATTCTTCTGATCCTGTTATCGCTCAAGTCAAGAACTTCTAGATGAGAGCAGTTGAGAAGTCCTTCTATCCTTGAGAGGCCATTTCCCCTCAGCTGGAGTACTCGGATATTTTCAAGCGGTGCTGTTGCCAAGCCCTTCAAGTGACGAAGCGAGTTGTGGCTTAGATCTAAACGCTGTAGCCAAGCACGCGAAACAATACAGCGAAGAGAGTCACGAAGCAGAATGTTACTCTGTATGTGGTGTAGAGAGGCACATGCAAATGCGTCGGCTGGGTTATATGTAGGTAGGTATACCTCCAGTAATGGCAGTGACAGCAATCCTGGTCCGTCTACCCCGCCTAGGCCTCCTGCTGAAAGATCGATCTTGTTGTGCGCTACCACTAGTTCCTGCAAATAGCACACACGAGCAAAAACCAGTTTCTTACCCTTTCTGGTGAAAAAACCTCAAACACGTTTATCATAATGCCTGTACCTTGAAGAATGTCTACTAAGAAGCATGTCTGCTTTTTTCATGCGAAACGAGAGACCAGAACGCAGTGTACGTCCAAGAGACAATTCGTGAATTCTCGCTCTGGAGTCGTGGCCGGCGTCTCGTATAAGTGTACAATGCAAGAATATGAATTTCTGTGTTCTGGTTCGTTCGTCTGGACGTTGTTCATCGAAATTTCAAAAGGGCTAACCCTCAGTAGGGGTAAAGTTCCCAATGAGGCCAGACTCGCAATTTTGTTTTGACTTAAATTGATGCTCAGTAAAAACGGAAAATTCTCCTCTTTAATCACATCCGAGATGCGACGGAGGTGGTGACCGGACAGATCGATTGAGCTGAGAATATAAAATGCACAGGAAGATGTGTCGTGGATTTTTGTAGGTGAACAATGAAATCTCTATGCTAACGCAGCCGCGCTACAAATACTGAGAGTTTCGCAGAATGCACTAAACGCCACAAAAGCCAAGAAAGCTCAAAATGCACTGAAAGACATGACAAGCTCGATTGAGCCCGAAGTAACAAAACATACACTTGTACGCTATTGCTGGAGCTCGGGTTCGCAACATATCTACACCATTTACTTCTCTAGACCCAGAATCTACACAATGTGCTTTTACTGCGTCGTCCTCTAACGTCACTTTGGCACGCTGATAGCCCCGCAGGTAAAACCAGTCGTGTTTGAGCACTACCAAATGGCCTGCACATGCAGTTTCAGAATAAAAAAGTCTTTGAACTTTCTATGCACCCGTTTCTATGCATTTTTGGGAAACGTTATAAATACGGACGCTTCGAGGCAAGGCAATGGCGCTCCTATGATTTGCTCCAACAGTTCTCTTGTAAGCCTTCCTGCGAACTCTTGTCTGACTTCCGCCGTCTCTTCTTGTTTTGGTTCAACTCCATCTAGGACTTTCAACGTTGGAAGGAGATAAAGGGTATAGGGCCGATATTCTGCTTCTCTGCTTAATGGAGTATTGCGCAGGTCTAGCACACGGAGGCACGGACAGCGGGAAAGATGCATTAGCGGTCTGCATGGAAACCGACGCATGAGCAGCGCTGGCACGTTTCCAAATGTTTCAAAATGACAGCGAATTGTTAATGCAACGTTCTCATCACCTGCTGGTAATTCCCGCCGAGTAAAGCAGATTGAAAATATGTGAAAATGCACCTTAATAAATGCGTTGCAGTGTAGCTTATTACAATATGGGCGATCAACTTGCAGGATCCGGATGTCAACATACCGAAAGCCTTGAATGCTGTTGCTGTTGAGATACAGCTGCGTAAGCGCTGGGAGTCCTTGCAAATGTTCTAGTTGCTGCAGTTTGTTGCCCTCGGCACAGAGGAATACCAAACGCTTCAGCTGCTGCATTCCTGGCGGAAAGGAAACAATGCGGTTGTGGGAAATGTCCAAACACTCCAAGCGACATAGCGACTCAATCCCTTCAAGATTCTGAATTTCGTTCCCATCGAGGAGAAGTTCTTCCAAAAGCCGCAGCCCCAGAATGCCCTGAAAGGAGCGCGCTAGCATTAGTACAATAAGTAGGTCAAAATAGTCCTCACAGGCAGAGAAACAGCATACGCAGGCATAGTTATTACAATCAGTAATCGCAGGAAACGCGTAACATCATGCGCATTTTCCTCCTATTGAGCTGCAGGGTAGCCGTTCAACAAAGCAGCACCGTGGGCCCTCTGCAGGATCATTCGGATGAAGACGGACTTAGAGCCTGATCTGGTGGAGTGTTGCCACAGGTGCATTGATTTACATCTATTTGATTTCTATCCGCAGCGACGGCGTTTCTAACATGATGCGGGTATCGGCACTTTACGTACTTGTATGCTGCTCAGTCTATTCTCAGACAGTTCCAGCCTTTTAAGGCCAATCAAGGTATGTACGTTTGGAGAGTCGCGCAATCGCAGGAATGACATCTCCAGGACATCCACTTTTTCCCTCCAATTGCTCCAGGTGAGCTCAACTGCGCCAAGTGGTCCCTCTTTGTACAGACCCTTATATAAACTGTGTAGGTGTTGCTGATGCTGGATGTCTGCAGCGGCTGGCTTGGTACTATAGCCGGGCCTCCACAAGCTAGCACCTGCTGATTGGATAGTGGCAGCGACCGAACACAGGCCTCCACAGCCGTTGGAATACCCCGCACATACACTGGAGTCCGATAGTTGCGATGCCACGGGCAACGGAGCAATTTTCGCAGGAGGCTTGTCACAATTGCAGCAACTACAGCAGCAGCAGCAGAAGCAGCAGCACAGCTGTCCAGAACCCCTGCAGGGGGGCAGAAGAAACGCCACTGGAAGGGGATCAAGATCTTCAAGTGGTCTCGATGTTTCAGCTGTTTCAGCACATCCCGCTCTTGGAACCACGAAGGAGCATGCAAGAAGCTGCGCGTCCTCAGCCTTACACGTGCTGCAAGAGCGACAAAAGGAAAGTGCTTGCAAAAGCTAGACGCCCCTTAGGTGCCTTCCCATGCTTTCTATTCGTGAGTCCATATGATGCCCGCAAGAGTGTCTTGCTGAAAAATGGTGAACATGGAGTCACACTACATAGCGGAGATTGTGGACCGTACATAAGACCTCAGTTCTCCCACACAGATTAATGCATAAGTGCGCCTGCACTTGGCTCACCAGTATCTCTGGCCTTGCGACTCCTCCATAGAAGACATCTGCGCAGCAGCTGCAATTGCCCAGCTGCGAGGCTCGGCAACACCTGATTGCATCTGCGTCATCGAAGAGCTGGTGACGCAGTGGGAGACCTGCTCAACAACTCCTTTGCCGGGCGGAGAAGCTGGGGGCTTTACGAGACACGCTGGAGGGGATTGCAACGCTCGGCCGTCAAGGAGATCCAATGCCGGTAGCAGCTGCTGCAGCTGTTGAGCAGTGTGCGCACCCATGTGTAGGGGGTTCCCCGCAAGCCACAGCTGTCGCAGCCGAGGAGCAGCTGTGCCTGCAACAAAAGGTGTATCTGAAGAACTGTCTACCGTGTGAAATTCCAAGACTATCTGGCCTTCAATTAGCCGCTCATGGCAATGCCTTCGTAACTCTAAGGCACATTAAAACATAGTTTGCTCTGGCATGAACCTCAAGGGCTGAAGCGTGTGGTCTGGTATGCCACCTGTGTGAAGTCGCCGCTACGTTACTTATGACGTGTTTAGCTACGGTGTCATGAGGTGCGGAAATATGTGCTACAAAAAAGCTCCTCTCTGTCGTCTTGCGCTTCCCCTGTATTGGATTTATCTGAATAGTGCCGAACTATCTAGGATTCAGTGATGACCGGACCGACGGGTGCAAGATCAGACAGCAACAGCAGATGGTTGGCAACAAGGCACAGCTGCTGCAGGCGCGGCGTGTTCCAGAAACCGTCGAGAGTGCAAAGTTCATTGAAACTCAAGTCCAGTACCCTCAGCTGAGGCATTTCTATTTTGCTGCATTCCTTTGACTCTGTAGAAGAGGCATTAGGGGAGCCGGAGAGGTATGAAGCAGTGAAACGCTTCTCAGGGGCTTCAAAACTGCGGATCCCGTTGAGGGGTAATAAAAGGACCTGAAACACATAATTGAAATCTGGCGATTCAAAGTTTCCAGTTAGGAGAATTCATTGCTACTTCTGTGCCTGGACAAGTTGCGAGCTCTAGAACTCTGCTAACCTTTCGGCCCAAACTCAGTGCGCTGTCGCGGAGGACAAAAGCCACTATATTGCAGCAAGCTAACTGGAAATGAAGACTAAGCTGCGTGCTGCGTGTACGTAAGCTCAGATATAGGAGTCGACCATCACTATTTGTTCCTTTAGATGAGATGTGAAGACTGTTTCTGCAGCAATAAATGTGAATGATTGCCGGTACCCTGCACCTGCTTTCATGCGCATTTTGCTAACTACCGTTCAGCTACTTTCGTGTCGAACACTTACCCTAAGCTTGAGGAAAGACAGGAGGACTCCTCGGCTTAAAGCAATAACGTGCGCGTTGCTGCTCAAGCTCAGTGACAGGACGTCCCCATTGCGGTCGAGCTGTGCTTGGCATTCACCGGCTCTCAGTCCTCCAAAAGGGCTTTGGGGGGCTGAGGGCGGCTGCTGGGGCTCGATAGCTGGACTACCGGCACTGGTTCGCCGGCGTGTAAAACTTTTTTGTAGGACCTCTTGCAAGTGGTCCTCCCCAAAAACAATTTCTTCCAAGGTTTCGTAACTGGCTGCGCCGACCTTCCCCTGATCAGATGACTCGCATAGCCAAGGAGGTTCCCTTAATTTTAAGAGTTCTTTCGTTCGAATGGAAAGGAGATGCTTAGCCATACTGAAGCAAACATAGACTTCGCAGATCATGATAGCACTTCTTGATGCCCAACAGCGTAGAAAGACCTTGAAAAATCCATAAACCGCATTCATTACTCCAACAGACTCTCTAACTCAAATAGCTGATCCAGGGGAAAAACGTGGCGCAGATTAGAATGCCTCGAATGCATCAATGCCTTCTGAATGGTGCAGTTAATCCGTGAGTTACGTACTTTATAAGATCTACGAAGGGAGAACCCGTTCCTGATTCTCGCACCGCGCTGTTGCGAGGACGAGTTTCAGGATGAGCTCTTTGACCGCCTTCATTTAACGTTGAGGAAATGGCTGGAGCTACTTGAGATCCTTGAGGAGCTGTGTTTGAGATGAGCGCGTCACCTGTCTCTTCCGGACACTGCAGTGGCGCAACAACTGCTGCGGCTTCCTGCGAAGGACCCAAAGTTGCGACTAGAGGAGCAGCTCCTGTTGGTGAGGGCGTTGACGCAGCAGCTGGAGGTGGCGATTTGGGCGCTGTGGGTGCTGTGGATTCTCCCGCTGTGGACTCCCCAGAGGCATTGGGAAGGGTTGCCATATCAAGCAAATCATATGAGTACGAAAAACGAACTAAAAAGTGTGGAAGGAGGCAGCGAGGCTCAGAAAACCACCTGAAATATGCGGAAGAAAAATAGCCGAAGCGGGCCTGCGTCAATTTTTGAGAGATCGCTGGGCAATTCAGGAAAGCTCACTCAATGCTGGAAGCCTTTGCTTCAATGTAGTTGTGCCGTGCGATTCAAATTAGCGTGGAAGCCGAAACAATACAGATTAAAAGGTTGTAAATGGAACTCATTTTTACGGGGTACCTGCTGTAATACCAAGTCATAGGAGCCACCTGCTTTCACTAGCTGAATCGTCTACCAAAACCCGTTCGTGAATGCTAGTAGACATGGTTGCAACGAAGAAACAGTGGACAGGCCCCGAAAGCATGGAGCAGCGGGCTTGAAGAATGTTCATACGAAGAGGTGTTTTCAATATAGAGCGTTAGGAAGAGTACCACGTTTTCATCTGTGGGTTCCAAAATCGCTGCCTGTAGACACTTGTCGGGCCACGCGGAGCCAGCGCACAGGTAGTGGAAGATGCGGAAATTTCACTCCCTGATTCTGAATACGACTCACAAGTGACTGCCTAGATATTTTGGAATGCTGTGCCAAAGGCTCTACCGTCTGTGGATGCAGCTTCATGCGAGCATACACAAGTGTAATGTTGATATCCAAATAAAGTACACGGCATGGCGCCTCTTGCTAGGAGGAGGACACTGCTTGTTTGGGAACTGTATAAAGTTTTCGGGCACTTATGTCATCATGAATTGTATCGACTAGCCGTTTTGCCGGTTGAAATATTTGTCTCACTGCAGTATTCCTTTGCGATTTTGAAAACTCCTTTCGTGGGACATTGGTCTCTAAGCTTTGGCATGTCCTCCGGCTTGTACCATAATGGCGTATCTGCTAGGGGCTCGTGCAAAAGGGGGCGGCAGAGCAGCACCTCGCCATCAGGTAGTAGCATCCGCCCACTCTTTACTGCTTGCGGCAGCAGTCGGCTGGAAACTGGCTTTTTTGTGCTTTCCTTCGACTCTCTGCACTCTCCAGTGGGAGGTGATAAGTCAGAACGACATGCTTCGTTCACTGGAAGGTCGTTTAAGGCGCTTTGAGTCTTTTCACCGAGTTCAAGCGTTTGCCTAGCAATCGCCTGGAAAGTTTCATTTGCCGCCAATGCGCTGTAGACAGAAACATGGGCAACTTTGCGCCTAGGTAAGTTCAAACAGAATTCACATTTTTCTCCCGCGGCACTGTACAGAAGTGACTAAATCTAGGTGGCTTCGCCTTTCTGCGCAGTGCCAACAGACCAGGAGGGAACCCTTTTTTCATGTCCCATTACAAATTGAAGGCCGATGCGCAGGAAGTTAAGGATCTTTAACAATTCATGAAATGAGCAGAGCACTGAGTATGCGGTGGCCAAATAAACGAATGATAGTTGTGCGTTCAGTGTGCCCTCACTGTAATCTAGGCAGGTCCGCCTCCGCAAGGCCGTTGGACGCGACAACAAACTGGCCAGTGTAAGGCGCAGCGTGCTTGGCAAACAAATTTCCGAACATACCCGTTGTGCACTGACTGGGAAGACAAAAGAAAGTAGCCTGAGCTTTTACCCTCGTCTATATATGTTTCCGAAGAGTGAGCAAGCCAACATATGCATAGTGTGTACAGCGTGTCTTTGAGTTCGCAAAAAGGGGACAGAGCCGAAAGGAAAAATCAGTGTCCCTTTGGACATACCCAAGTAGCCCCGACGGGTTCTTGGGATCCGCGCCACAGATTACCCAGTCCCCTACGCTGTCGACTCCGCAAGTGCACCTACTCCACACAACAAGACCAAACGGGATAAGTCACATTTGCTGTACTGATAAACGCATAATATCATCCGAATTCCTTCAATGCACTATTTGTGAAATCGATAGGCCTTAGCCGCGCGCGCAATAACTTGTCAAGCTTATTTTCAACTGCACCGCTTTCTTCCTTAACAACATTAGTAACAGCATCCAAAAATATTGTTCGCAGCGTCACCTTGCTACTGTTTCCAGGAACGCAATATCAGGCGGCAAGCAACACGCCGACGCGTCGAAAATGAGCTGATCTTACTTGAGTAGCTCGAAAGCCGCCTCTGCTTCTCTGTTGACTACACGCTGAACGCTAATGATTCGAACGCCCTTAAATCCGAACTGGGAGAAATCACCCGCTGAAAAAGAACGAAGTAGGAAATCGGCAGCGCGGCGGTACCTGATAGCGGACACGCAAAGGGATTTCCCACAGAAACAGAACAATTGTAGGACCGATGGTGATGACGTAGTTAGAAAATCTCTTTCTGTAGAGAACATAGAGTCAGCCCACTTTTGTGAGGGCAACGTATGCTCTTCATGCATACAAGATATACTCAGGGGCTGCACGCAGGATATTTTCAAGCTTCCTTAACTGTGTGCTCACGAGCTCAAGCAGAACATATATATTCCCCGGCAAGAGTGCACGAGTACTTGTGCTGAATACGCTTGAACTTAAAACCGTCACCGTTAAACACTTGACGAGAAGTCTCAGTAAAGAGGAGAAATGCAGTCACGCAGGAGGAAAAGTAAAAAAGGACACCAAGCAAACCTATATGCAGCTCAGAACTTTAAGAGAAACGGGAACAAGGAGGAAAAATGGTTTGTAACCAAAACCGTCTTCTTCAAGGAGCAGACACACCCTGGTGAAAGACGCTTACAACTGACCAGGTCTTACTAGGATCGCCGAGCTCAAGATGTATATTGCCAAACCGCTCCAGTTCTTTTCTTTTCGTGCTCATTATCGTCTCTTTCCTCCTTCGCACCTCAGTAGCAAGCCAACGAAAGAAAGACGCGCCGCCGCAGAGCCCTCCCCGTGCTACGACTAAATCCTAGGAAAGCAGTGGGCGCACGAGGAAATTGTGAAACTGACGCGGGGCAGGCGACGCTGCATTATAGTGGCTACCAATATAATGCTGGGTCCCGCTAGTGAACAAAAAATGAATTTTCCCCCATGCTGAGAATTTACCCAGAAGGAATGGTGTAGGAGGGATCGTTGGGAGGAAACCATTTTCCAACTGTATAGACAATGCACTGGCCAAGATAAAAAACGTGAAAATGGCCACACACGCCATCTACTAGTCGTAATATTGAGGTAGTGCTGCGGGAACATTCTTTGCATCACCACATGGTAATCACAGTCGCAAAATGATCTGCATGCAGCTACTGTAGATGAAGAGTTTCAGGGAATACATGCTCTATGGATCCACAAGACCTCAATTTTCCGCTTACAGAAAAATTTCTTCTCTGTTTGATGGCGACTCTGAATTCCCCGTGAAGCTTTTCTAGGTTCTTCAGCGCATCTCTAGCCTCTCGTCTTGTCTTTTGTTGCTCGAGTAAATAATAAAGTCGTTTCCTTTGGTAGGTTGAAGCGACAAACGCGGAGTCACCGGCATCAAGTACGGTCTGATTTAGAGCCTGAGGCGAGACGCTGCACAAATAGTGCCTCACCATGAGGCACTTCACGTGCTTTGTTGTTTCTAGCATTGGTACTGCTGCGTTGTAATTGGTGCCAGTCTTTGCTCATGCGATCTGTACCTCCGGGCACTGAACTGTTTTGTTCGCAGGTCCTTTTCTTTGTGCAGTCTGCCACCGCGTATTCGCTTCTAGTCTATCACTCTGCACAAGTACTGACTAATATACTCACTCCACACGCCACAGAACTGCCGAGTTTGCCTAATATTACAGCCTTAAGGCTACGTTCTTAGGTGAGCCTTTGGCGATCTAGCCTTACGGGGTCTGATGTTTCTAACACAATACAAAGTGAAGCATTCGACGTCACTACAGCGTATACTTAGAATAACTGCTGATGCTATTGGAGCAGAACAGCTGAATGCTACTTGGAGAATGCGGAATAAGCCCGATAGAGAGGCTGTCTCCCCAGATAACCTCATGCTTTGCTGCTCGAAAGCCAAATTACTGCAGTTGTGGAGAGTCCTGCCGCTCACCTTCAAGTTTGGTATGTGGTAAAGAGCAAACATTTCGTGATTTTTTAGTCTGCATATAGGGTTTTGTTTTGCAAGAAAGTGAACGTCCGAAAACAGGAGAGACTGGAGACGAGGTAGTTGAGAGAGAAGGGTCACTTCATGCAAAGACCAAATGCTGAAGGATAAACCAAACCAGGCGACAGGTTTATGCGATGGAGAGAAAGAGATGCTCATACGACCACTAACAGAGGGGAACAGTTTATGCGCTGGGGGGAAAGAGATGGTCATACGACCACTAACAGAGGGAAAGCTTGGCAAATTTGGGACAGAGATTAGGATTTTATATTGACTGCTTTAAGCCACAAAAAGTGCTACAGAAGCAACACTGTAGGGCTTTCACTTTGTGAATTGCTGTGCCAATTTCGCTAACGTCTAGCATTGGAATTGCAGGGTGCATCCTCGTGTCGCATCTTACAAGTTTGCCGCAATGTTTAACTTTTCTAGGTTCTTGTTATTGCTGAGGGCTGCACCCACATGCGTCAACTCGTTATCTGCCACCTGCAAGTCCTTCAGATTCACGAGGTACTCAATGCCTTGTAGGGTTCGGAGTTTGTTGCTGTTAAGCCGCAGCGTGTGCAGACGGTTAAGCCCTTCCAAGGGGCTCTTCGGTGTCCGCACGGGCTCTTCCGGGAAGCCTAAGTCCGATAGAAGGTTACCACTTAGGTCTAGCTCCTCCAGAAACTTACACGACTGAACTCCTTAAAGCAAAGCAAAACACAGGAACATACGTATACGCCTGGCTTTCTCTACACATGGAACTCAGCTGGTTGTACTAAGGAGAAGCCTGGCGCAGCCAAGCAGAGCGGACGACTCAATGAAGAAAGAGAGACAGCCGTAAAACGGAGAGCGTGAACCGCAGGAACTTGTCGTACGCTCATCATGTCTTATACATCTTGGAAAAGCTGTGTGTATTCGAGCTAAAGTACCTTCAAGTCTCTCAATCTGATTCTCTGGAAGGTGAAGTACTTGCAAGCTCTTGCACACTCCAGCGAACTCAAGGGTTTGAATGTGCTGCTGAACAAGCCTTAGCTGCCGGAGACAACCGAATGTACCAAGGGCGTTAAGTGTCGTGGGGTTCAGCGGCCTATCCATGATTAATTCGAGCGAATCGACCAAGTTTGCTTCTGAAACATCTCGTATTCCCGTGACTTCATACAGCCATGAAAGGTCAGTAGATCCTCTACACGGTAAACATGAAAACCAGAAAAACAGCAGCAGTAGAAACCTGCCGTCGATCTGCCCAGCATCCTGTGTGTAGAGATTCCTCTGAAGCTGCACGGTGTGTGACGGAAATTAAGGGTAGTGCACCACTCTGTGGGGCATCAGGAGACGTGAAAAATGACTTTTTCAAGCTACTGAGAAGTATCCGGTTTTGCTTACTCATAAGCAGATCCCAAAGAAGCCGACGGTCTGTTTGACGTGCCTATTCGTTGAGGCACGGAGGCACCATCCTTTTTCAGTACCGCGTCAGTCTCAGTGTTGCTCTGATTGCTGACAGGTGACTCGTCGCCATCTTGGTCTGTTCTGTCTGGACGAAATATCGTGCCGGGAGCACCCAGTGCTGAAAGCATCCTTACCGCTGCAACTCCAAATGCAGCCCCCCTTCTCGGAACCCTTACACCTCTACAACTCTGGTGTCCTTTCCAACCTCCTAAGCAAGCTGAGGGACTCTGTTCACAGCTGCCTTTCATACGTCCTGCTCGTTTTCTAGGAATTTGTGTTGCTGATTCCTTCGGAAGCCCTCTAAGCGTTTCCGTTGAAGGCGGCGCCCTCTCGCGGGCGCTGGCAAGAGCGTCAGTGGGGCTGTTAGTCTGGTATTTGCCACAGCCGCTGCTGTCGCCGTTGTTATTGCAGCCACTGCAATTGCTGGACCTGGAATCGATGTACTGTGCATTTACCTTCGGCGCATTGCCGCTACTTCCATCTGCAGGAGCATTGCTCTCAGTGCTGCTGTTGCTACTGCTCGTGCTGTGGCTGCGCTGCTTGTGTTCTTTGATACTGTGCGCCCCGCTAATGGTGCCGGCGCTGCTTCCCCGCCACGGCAGAGCGGGCGCTCTACAGCCCTTCAACCCATGGGCGCCAGGCGAAGTGTTGTGATATCCGGTAGTAGATGGGATGGAGAGGGCTTCCTCGAAGCTGTCTGCCACTGCCGCACCTACCACTCCTTCACCTCTGGGGGTTATACCAGATGTAACATGTTGGCCCCTTGTGACGAGCTGTTCACGAGTTTCTAAAGACAATCCTGAAGATTCCTTGAGCAGAAGCTCTCTGGAAAGCCTACTGATGGTGCAAGGACTGCAACTATTACCATTGCTGCTATTGCAATAATTGCTGTCCTGGTTACTGTTGCCGTTGCTGCTGCTTTTGTCACTTATTCCGTTGCTACTATCTCTGCCTGCAAGTGCCACGTAAGAATTATTCACGTTCTCAGAAGTACGGATCTTGCTACGGCTGCTGCTGCTGGTAAGTGAAACAACCGGAAGTTCTTGGGTGCTTTCATGATCCTCAGTAGGCCCCTCGCTCAGGGCTTCAGAGCGATCAACTTGTGCTGGCAAGGACAGAATAAGCGAAGTGGAGCCTCTATGCATTTTGGGCAAAACCGTCTGACCACTTCTTTCAAATTCCCCCTTCCCCATATATTGTTTCTCCTGGGTTTCAGCGAAATCGTAGTTCTTGCGAGTGCTGACAGGGCCCCCTCTTTCGCTTCTTCTGGGCATACCTTTGGCAGAATGCCTTACCGTGCAGTCTTCCTGCAAGTTCGGAGCAAACGCTGTACCCATGCATATCACGCCGAGGGAGAAGCTGTCCGGCAGGCCCTCCGGCGCTGTTGTTGAGTCTGATGTTAACTCTTTCTTTCCACGGCAGCCGAGAAGGCGACGGGCAGACATACTGCCTGCGCCTTGTGGAAGACATGCTGAATCAGAAATACCAGAGAGTGTCGTTGTTTGAGCTTCCTGCACCTTGTTCGCAGGTGAAGCCGGAGAATCCTCAATTTGGCTAGAGCGCAATTGGTGTGGAAAGTTCATGCTGTTGTTGCCACTGGCGGATTCCTTTAGGCACTCAACAGCCTGCATTATATTAACACCTGTGAAGGGATGCAGCTGAGGTTCTCTTTTTCGAGAGGCGCGAGGGGTTTTCTTCTCTAGGGAAGTCTTGGCTCCCACTATGCATCCCGAACTGATGTGCGCCGTGCGATCCGCGCAGCCATTGATGCTGCTGCTGCAGGATGCCCTATTGTTATCTGATGGCTGCGTTACTTTGCTGCTGGTGCCAACCACTCCTGAACTTCGTCGAGGAGCACCAGATGGCACTGCCCAATCTGGCAGCCTGCTTGCCGTTTGTACAGCGAAGTGACCACCGAGCTTTCCAGAGGAGAGCCCTTTACTGCTTATTGGGGGCCCTCTGTGAGTTGCTCTGGAGCTCCGGCTCATCGTCTTTGCCCAAGGCCTCACAGTGAGGTGGCGGTCAAGGGGGGCCCCAAGGCCACCCCCTGATTACAGGTTTATCTACCCTTATTACACTGACCTTGCATGCATTTCCTTTCGTTCTCCTCGTTGGTCTCCGTACCAACAACAAGGGTCATTGCGTCTCCGTGAACATGTCGTCTGCTTGAAGGTTGGTTAATCTCCTCTGCTGTTCTTCCTAGTGCTTCGCAGAGGCTATGGTTTCTACAATCCCGTCAGCGATATCCAGCGTTTTTGTTATCAGATAAATCAAAATGATACGTTGGAATTGGTGCTATGGTTTCCTAAAATACGCAGGAAGAAGCTCGGCGCCTCCACCTGCGGCCAAGGACACCTTGAGGTGACCTTAAGAACGCCCTTTATCGCGCCTTTACTAGTCAGTCGCCTTCAATGGAGAGCCTCTCGGTGTTCAGGCGGAGTTACTATGCAAGCGTTGAAATGTAACCAAAAGTTAAGTGCGTCGGGGATCGAAGATGATCTCGTTTCGGCACACGTACAGAGGAAGACCGACGCAGGCCTGCTTCTGTAACGAAAACTGACGATTTGACTGCATCAGCTATACGGGATTTCATAAGCCTTGTAATCTTTCGAGGATTCTCAAGCGCTTTCAAGTAGCTAAATTCATGCAACGAAGGAGGCCCCGAAGATCCCCCCGATTAGCCCGAGCCACATATCCACCCACCAACTGGACGGCGGATGGCGGGCAGAGTGTAATGTTATCTTCTGATTCTCTGTTCCCCTGCTTAATGCCTCTGTTGCACCGGGAACATCACCTTCTTGGCATTATTTGATGCTTCCACGTTGCCTTATTTGCAACTATTCCATCAGGGGCTTCGTGAAGCACACTACCAGCAGTGCCTGCTGCGACGCAGTGGAGTCTCGTCCGCCTTGCTATACTTCACCCACCACCTCTGTTAGTATGAGGCCAATCACTTTTCTGGTTGTAATGGGCCTATCTGCTTATAGAAAATAATGCCCATTGGAGACGACTCGGTTCTCATCAGAAACGCAGAGCTGTGATCCGTGAAAGCAAGTTAAAACATTCTAAATCTAGGGAGAAACCCCATAAACGAAGATGAAAATGAGACCAGCAGCCCTCCGGAACAGTGAATGGACTATATAGCGCATTTTTGCTTGCTCCGAAGCGTTGCCCACCGCGGAAGTCAATAAAGTGCACACCTTGGAGCTTCATGACCCAGGCGAGAAATCACTGGAACTGAAGCAGTTATGATGGAGATGAACTAGATATGGTAATATGGATGTGCACAGGGTTTTGAGGACAGGACTGTGCCCACAACGTGCAGCGTCGCATGGTCGTCACATGTGTATGTGCAATCGACTCCAATACAAGAAAGGCCACTGACAATATAGATACAGACATACAGTATAAATACAATTGCAGCTATAAACTTTGAATTCTGTTGTGGCATCCTCCCGAAAATAATGCTTTGAGACTCCCATACACCGAACATTCTTGACTTGCAATCTTCCGTCGTAGAAACTCGAACACTGCATGTGTGTTCAAAAATACCACCAGCACCTCATAAAATAATACATGTGCAGGCTAGACTGATTGCTACTCTCCTCGGAAACTGCTTGTCGGGTTGGGGCAATGTGCAAAGCACTTTATCGCTTTTACCCTTCCGGAATTAGTCGAATTGCAAGTGACAGCATTGTGCAACGTATCGACTTTCCGGGGCTGTAAGGTAGAGGATTGGTGACTCCTGGTCAGTCTTCTGGCGGGCAAGGCAATATTTCTGCGGCGCCGGCGTTTTTCCTGCCAAAATTTATACAACAAAACCTCATCACCACAGCTGCAGCTGCCGTTTAATGTCAGAGACGGAAATGCGTGAGAAGCCGCAGTTCTCAATTTCGGGAACCCCTGCAGCAACTTCTCAGTTAACACGAGCTGAACAGCATCTAGGCTCCCCTGAAACCTGAAGGCCCGTAGCATTTCCTGACAAAGCCTAGTGCAGTGACTTAGCAGCATTCGCTGGACAACTTATACGTGGCACTCGGGGCTGTTAAAATGAACTCAGAAAATTGAAGTAGCAGTAGGTGGCCAGTATCAATTTACCTTCGTGTCCCGAGCACTGCCAAGTAAAGTCCTCTAAATGCCAGTGGCGCTTTTCGGGAGAAAGATGTAAGAAAATCCGGTAAGCACACGCGACTGAGCTCTGCGGGTCCTCCAATGGCCTCCTATAAATTAAATGTAGAACGTAAACTCTACACATTAGCCCTCCGAATACAATATTCACACACTAGGTTAGATGATTTGCAATTATATCTTAATTTCGTGAAGCTTTCTGAAAACTACCAGTAGACCGTGTTTCATGACCAGTGAATAGTTGCATATGAACAAAATATGTGAGCATATCGCTGTGTCAGTATAATAGTTTACAGCCAGCGGTACAGCTTGCCTTTTTATGTTTCCTCCTGCGCCGTACTAGGGACCGCTACTGAATGCCACAGACCATAAGAACTAAACCCACAATCTTAAGCCCCAGAGCGTTTAGAGATCCTGGCAAAACCGACGAGGTAATACAGCATTAGACACTGTGCTGTGCTGGGCTTCGGTATTTTCAACATCGAAAAGTAAATGTGGTTTGTACAAGAAATAGGGCGAAACTTTTGAAAAAGTGTGAGCACGTAAGGCGCCATGACATGGTAACGAATTCTGAAGGAGGAATTTTATGGCAACTTTTTCTGCTGCGATTTTCGCAGCTGCGGCGGCAGCCAACTTCTGAGCAAATCCCAGTCAGCCGCTGCATACAAAAAGGGCAAAAGACCTACGCCCAGTGGTTGAACTGCGGCGAAATAGCACAAATTCATGGGGGATTAGCCTTTCCTTATGTCAACCAATTGGCCTAGTTGAACATTACCTGCACCGCCGCTAAGACATGGGGCAAAAACTGAGTTGAGCAGCTGCATAAACTTCCACTCCGCACAGTACTAAACAAGAATATATACGCCAGAAACTCTAAACACAAAGGCCTAGTGCTTACTGTCCCTGGGCACGTCATTTTCGCTTCCGACCTTCCGTTTGTTCCCCTCCCACAAACGGTAACCTGGAGTAAAAACAGGCACATTCAATGATGAAACACATCTAGGTGTTTTAAATGAAAAGTGAATGCAAAGTGTACAGAATAGAACAGGCACAAGACACTCCCTAAAAATGGAGTCCGCAAAAGCCACAAAGGTGATGACATGGCGGCGCCGTTACACGCAATAGCATAGCTTTGTTCTTACCCGGGTCAACTGCCTCTTGTTGCTGATGCTCTCGCTGTTGCTGCTTCTGTTGCTCCTCCACCTGCTGCTGTAGAGCACCAGGGCTTCGAGATGCAGAACGTGAGGAGTTGCAGTGCTGTTGCATCAACAACCGCGCATGATGAATCCATCTAAAACTAACAGTGATATCCGCACTTGGAATATTTCGCGTAGTACTTAGGCTCTACGTATCTCACACACTGAGTATGCAGCGGCTGTCCTACAAGTTAATTCTCTCAAACTGAAGTGCCAGCCACGCTCACACTGCTCCCAAGCTGACGCACCCGTTTGCCGCTCAGTGGTGTCTTTCCATCTGTGCACATTCAGATTAACACAAAATGCGAAGTACACAGATTAAGAGACATAAGAGAAAACACTTCGTGAATACCGAGCGTGCGATACACTCCCCATAGCCACATGGAGTCGTAGCATCACTGCCTCATGCACTTTCTCATGATCAGCAGCGCCAAAGATAACATGTTTAGTTCAAATGCTTTGAGTTTCGGTACGCTTTCACTGGCGCACTAGAAGCCGCAGAAGAAGTTCAACAGCTGAGACTTTCGGTACGATTGATCATCGTATGCGGGCCAGCTGCTGTGTACGTCGGTACGTTGTCACTATACCTGGTGTTTCCGTGTTGTGCATTGCGAATAGAGGAGCAGCTGCAGCCACAGCAGCACGCAGCTGCTTTCGATGATGCAGTCGCAGCAGTCGCGGTGTCGCTGGGCCAATCACAAAGCCTGAAGTAGCCTTGCGCTGAAAGCCCTGACTACTCCTGTTCTTGCTTCTGCTACTGCAGCAGAGTTGTTTGAAGGCGGAGACCGTTCTGGAGAAGAGGATACAGGAGCGGCGATGTTCTACCGCCAAGGCGTCTTTTCAGGAGGAGGAGACAACGATGCACAATGAAAATGCGTGCGTCGAATAAAGCCTTGCTGGGGTTACACAGGCCGATGCGTACATTTTTAGAGCGCTCAAATTCCCACCTCCCTGTGCTGAGTAGCGCGCCGCCGTCACTGTTAGCCACAGATATCCACGCAGCGGCGAATAATGCTGCTGCAGTGCAACTGGCTGTGTGCTGCTAAGACTGAATTTGGAGCGGATATGCTGTCTGCTACTTCAGCAGGCGTTGTTGCTTCGGCAGGTGGAGCTGGTGGTCTCGTACCCGGCGGGAAAAGTATGAGGCACATAAAGAAATCCATGGGGCCTCCTACTACTGGTAAATATGAAGGTGAAGAGTAAATACGATAGCTTCTGAAGTATGGGAAGGCTGAAGCAGCGACGACGAGCAATTGTAGCTGCTCTTGCGGTTGTTTTTGCTGCTGCATGCAGGGCAGTGCGGGCTGGATGGCGCAGTAGTCGGCGGCGCCGACGGTACAACAACCACAGCAGCAAGAGGAGCAAGACCTGTTGTTACCTCTTGTTGCATCAAGTCTCTAGTGGCTCTTCAGGCTTTTTATACCTTGTAGGACGATTTACAGCAGAGACAGCAATAATAACAGCGACGGCAGCTGCAGCTGCAGTGCTGAGTGCATTCCACCGATTGCTCAGCAGTCACAGCTCTGCAACGGCGACAACAGCAGCAGCGGCTGCAGCGACTAGCTATACTCACCACTGTAGCTTTTGTCGTGGATTCGGATGAATCATTAAGTGCGATTCTCAGCCAACCAGGCGGCACACTTGGAGAGTTGGACATAGGGGCGCAGCAGCTGCATCAGCTGCACCAGCCGCGCCCGCCACCAGGGAATTCCGATGTACACCTCCTATTTGCCATGCAAATGAAGACGGAAATACAATTTACTTTTTAGCAAGAGCGGTGAAGGCAAGTTGGGCAACCCAGCCAGCAAGAAACACCTCCGCCTGCAGCGGCAGTGTCGGCTGTCTGAGCAGTACCGGCAGGGCAAGCTTCACAAGGACAGCAATATCACGAGGCTGACTCTTGAAGCAACAGAGGTGGTAGCGGCCACGGAAGACGATGGGAGGGGATGAGACGACCAAAGCCCCTGCACCAGGAGGGTTCTGCCTGTGTGTGCCCTGCAACAAGCGCTCGCGGCAACCATGGACGCCCCCAGACTGCGCTGCTACAAGCTACGAAATACGCTGCAGCCACAGCCGCCGATTTCTAAGCCAGCGCAGCGGCAGCAGCGGCAGGGGCTTCAGCAGGAGCAACTCTCGCAGCGCGGGTGCTGGCACTCCAAGGCCCCCCAAGCTCGGCAGTACAGAACCTCAGCTGAGCTGCTACATGCTTCAGCAGCAGCAGGAACTGCCGCAGCAGCAGCCAGCAGTGTTGTGCCCTGCCTGTGCTGCTGCTGCAGGTTCGTGGAGCAGCTGCTTCTTCTGCTGCGCGAAAGAGGCCCCCCGATCCCCAGCTTCGATGCCTTCGTCAAGCAATTTGCTCCACGTGCCCTCTTGCTCATCTCAGGGTAGCAATAGTTTTCACGACAGTGACAGCGAAATTGCCTCATTTACTGCATCGAAGCCAGCGGTAGCCCCTGCGGCTACCTTGGCTGCCGACACAGCAGATCCACGACAGCTGCAGCACAGCAACAGCAGAAACTTGCGACTGCATATGAGCCGTAGCAGCAGCTTCAAGAGCCGATTTCCCTGCGTAGACTGCTGGAGGTGCAGCAACAGTTGCACCATCAGCCTCAAGGTGCTGCAGCTCCAAACAGCCAGTGGCAGCATCATTCCTGCCCTATTCCTTCGCCATCCGTCCGCCAGGCAAACTCTTCTGGTATCTCACCGAAGCAACAGCGACTTGGGACGTATGTACCCCTTGCTTTTGTTCTTGTGCCGGTCTCTTTGCGTAAATGTGCTGGGCTACGAGTACACCGGTTATGGATTCTGCTGCTGCACCATTCGAAGGAACCACTCCGAACAGCAGGAGCAGCAGCAGCAGCGAAGGCTGTGCCGGCCATCTACAACTGGGGTGAACACAGATATCCGCGCAGCTTTCCTTTGGCTACAACAGCAGCAGCAGCAAACCCCCCAGAGCATTATTCTGTACAGCGAAGGGAAGGGCCTTCTGCCTGCCTTACAACTCAGGTCTGAGCTTGCAGCTGAGGGTTTGCAGCTGGGGGGGCTGGTGTTTGTGGCGCCGGCGGCGACAGCTGCAGGTGCTGCAAGTACTGCTACAGGATTGCCCCTTTCGCGGGTTAAAGGAAAGGAGGGAGGGGAGGTAAGACGAATTCGCCGTTTGGTTCCGGCGTGCCTCCGCCGTCGCAGCGAAACCCACGAGGTGTACATGCAGCTGCTACAGCTACATCTAGACGAATTGCTGGTTCTGGAGGGCTTCAAGCAGCAGCAGCAGGAGGCACCCTGTGGGAAGACGCCACAGTTGCTGCTGAGACAGCGAGCAGCGGCAGCAGCAACAGTAGCAGAGACTGGTGGCCTTGAATGCACGTGTAGTGACTTTCCTACAGGCGACAACTTACGCCGGTTAAAGGCGTTCGTGCTGCGCTCAAGAGAACAACAGGAGCAGCAGGAACTTGCTATGGAGAGGCACTATCAAATACAGCAACAGCAACAGCAGCTCCTGCTGGCGCAGAGGCAGCAGCAGCAGAAGTTGTGGTGCAGTGTCATGCAGACTGATCACGTGGGTGGCTCTAATGAGCAGCAGCATGACAATGTTCTTTCACAGCAGCCGCAGCAGGCTGGAACCGATGCGTACAAAGGAGACCCAGCGACGAACTACCCCACGGAATTGGTGTCTCCGCCTGCGACGACCGAAGGAACGCCAGAAAAGCCATTTTCGGAACAGCAGCAGCTGGCTCTGCGGCCGTAGCAGCAACAGCAACTGCATCAGCAGCAGTCCCAGGACGAGCTGCACCGGAATGCAGTGAAACTTTCCGCTACGAAACCTCTAGCAGAGACAGCGGCCGGAAGGGACGGTAGACAGGTGTAGTCATAACGTTAGCGGAGCTACCCTAGTTAATCAATGTGTAGTGCCACTAAGAACATATTTTGTACTCTTTTGTATCATGACCCTCTCGCAGTCCTTTTGTTTCCGTTGTACCCTTTTTAGTAGCGAATCAGTTGCGACGTGTTGAGCTAAATGTTCGTTTGGTCCAATGGATAACACGGCGCTTGCTAGTACGGGGGCGCCACTAATCTGCGAGCATGCGCAAGCCGTGCAAGTTTTGCTGGCAGGGTCAGAAGTAGTAGTTGCTGATGCTGCTACAGGTACTGTAGCAGCAGTCCCCTTTGTTGCTGTAGATGATGTAGCAGCAGCTACGACGCGCTGCCTTCACCTACGACACTGTTTGTGTTAATGTAAAATTTGTGCTGACGGCTTCGTGTGAAGCCCATTTGTATGTTGCCTCCATTCAAGTCATGCCTTGCAGAGGAGCCTAGAGAAGAGCCCTTCATTTGTTGAGGCAAAACAGAGCTTGCCTATCGCCGCCACTTGTGGAGCAGCCACCAACCTGTATTATTACAGGCCTGCTCGGCGGCTTTCCCGCAGCATTCCTGACCCGTCTAAACTCATTGGATCGAAAACACTATTTATTGTAAGGTGTAGCACTTAGCAGGTCGGTGATAGGGGCTTGTTTAGCAGCAGACTGTGCAGTAGATTGTACCCGATACCATTACTCCTGACTTTTCGGTACGAAATGATCAGATTTGCGCTTACGCAGGATATTCAGCAGTTCAAACATATGGAGGGTTTCTTATGTATCCTAGTAGATGCACGGCGTAAGTATGCTGATTTGGATCTGCTTAATAAATTTTATGAAAGCCACTCGGGAGACGGGGCTCAGCAGCCCACCAAGCGTCAGAAAATCCAATCTTTTGCATGCGCTAGTCCAAAACGGTCCCGTTTGGTTTAGTATTTGAGGCGGTCGCTTTTGGCCTAAGATGTGGCCTCAGGGTAGGGGGCAAACTGGAAACGTATCTTGACCTGGTCTGTCCCCACATTGATTGTAAAGCTTTTTGTGTCGCTCAGACTGGCATTTGCGCTATAGCGGAAAGTGACGCTGACAATGTACTTATATCCCGGGGTCAGCGTATAGGGCCTCACTGTTGCTGTAGTCTGGTCAGAACTCAGGCTTAGCAACTGATCAGCTGTGCGGGAATCGTCGGCACAGCTGGCAGTCCACTGTATGAGTACACCAGAGTCGAACGCTGTAGCAACTAAAGGACAGTAGTCAGCTGTCACCGATAGATCAATGCTTTGCCCCTTATGAATCGAAAAGTTGTCCTTCGACTTTAGAGTCAGGGTGGGGGGCTCCAGTGTCAGGGATAGCTTGAGTGTTCCTGAAGCTGCACAGCACATTTCTCGCATATAAGGACAAGCAGTTTGTGAGCAGACGTTGGTGACAGCGTATGCACCTGGCTGCGTGGCAGTAACCTGCTGTTGCTCATGCGCTTCCAGCTGCCTCTTTTGGGGGGAATATGCGCAAGTGCAGTTACTAGTATTAAAGTAAGCAACAAGGCCTTGTTACCGGTTGCAGTCTCGCCATTTACATCTGTTACAGTTACAGAAAACTGGAGATCGATGCTGCTGATTCCAAGATTTCGCGAAATATATTCGTTGGCCGCTGCGTACACGACATCCCTAGGTATGGTGATCTCCTCCTCGTTCGCCGTCAGTAAAAAGTTCTGGAGGTTCAAAGAGGCACGACCTTTGTTCTTCCTGCATGAATGAGCAGCGGATGAAGAAGCGCAGAGTGCTCCCTGTATTCTCCATAGGTGTTGTGACTTAGCTAGCAAAAACCATTTGACGAGTTGTGGGCTTACGGGACGTTTTATAAGTAAACGCTTACCACAAATAAGTAAGAGTTGTGTCGCCTGAGGCATTCGCTGCATACACAAACACATCGCATGCCTTACATGCCGTATAACGTAAAGGCTGCCACCCGTAGAAATTCAAACAGGAAGATTTGGAAACTTCAATTCCATGTGTAGTCGAGTTAGCTGGATAAAAATGCCAGGCACGAATCTGCTTGAACGGGATTCAATTGCAAGGAAACGGGGATCACATACAGGTGGATCCTTTTGCCGAAAGCACAATATCACTGCACATGCCCGACGCTACAGGAACCTGAATGCGCACTTAAGGAGATAAAGGATAGGGTTCATCCAAGCTTGAGAGTTACACGACTACTGCGAGTCGTGGGGTTAAAAGCGTTTATAATGCGTCATTACAGGCGAAACCCCTAATCTGTAGATCCTAGACGGGTAGCCCTAAAAGACTAAGTTCTTGAAAGGAAGCCAAATTACTTCGAGAGGTGTACTAAGGCAGCTTTTGGTCTTCTGACATGGACAATAGACTGATTAGTTAGAATTTGGTCATAAGTACTTGGATTTTTGCTACTGGAGGAGTCTTCGGAGTAGTTGTGCCGTCAGAGCCAGGGTTGGAGCCCCCTGAACCATCTGGAGATCCGCCATTCCCGCCGGTTGGCACCGATGGGGACGCAGGGCTCGTTGTAGTAGTGGTTGTGCTGCTTGAAGATGAGTTTGTGTCCGATCCTGTTCATAGATTTGTGGTCGGCTCTGTACCATGTACTGCGGTCCTTGTCTTGATCAGAAGGTGTTTATAGCAGGTATTCTGCCTACAGTCATAGATCTTAGTTTTCGTAGATATTAAGATTTGTATCTGTAATCATAGCAGTAGCTAGGAATACCACAGACCAGTCTGCTGTAGCATAATGTTCTACGTTTGTGAACCTACCTCCTGCAGAAGCTCTGACGGCTGGTTCTCTTTGACTACTGACAACCTCTCTGTCCGTTAGTGCCACCTTTCGAGAAACTGGACCGTCCTCTGGAGCCTTCCGGTTTATCGCCTCCGAATATGCCTGAATCGAGGAGCTACAGCGTTGCAAACAGTAGCTGAGGCCTCGTAACTGTGTAGGTGCGCTGCGCAAACAATTGTGCATCTTCCCTTTGCTGCAGCCTACTTTTGTTTCTTTCAAAGGGCAAGATAGAGCATAGGGGCAAAAGCTGCGGCAAAAGCCAAACTGGTGAGTGCAGAAAATGCTTTCTGAGCTGCAGATGATGGGTTGAATTACGGAGTGTGGGGAGCTCCGGCGCTTCCCACATTGCTTCTAGGAAGCCAGAGTGTTCGCGCACTGTTTGAAACGGAAGATTAGAGTAAGTCGCAAATGACAATCAAGGTTTTCAAACGCACTTCAAGGCTGTACGAATGACGTCTGTAGCACCTCTTCAGAAGGTGGAACTTTGTCACTCCGTGCGTGGCAAGATGGCCCGCAGCGGCACAGCTTCAAGGAGAAAGTAAACAAGTGACTTGTGACAATGTGATTTGAGCGGCAAATGAGGATTGGATGGAGAATTGTGACACTGGTGATGACAGGATCAGTAGACGAAAAATAAGTAAACACTGGCGTGAGCAGTGGAACAATGGAACTGAAATGCGCGCACAAATAACCAGAAGTAGGCTACGGTTGGCACAGTTCATGTTGTGCTGTAGTCCGTTTGACTTCTCTACAAATGTTAGTGCAGTGTGTGCATGATGGAAAAGGCACACAAATGGCGATGCATAGAGTGATGCTTGGCCACAATCAAGTGCCTTATCCCATTAGGCCCAAAGCTACGTATCTCATTTACAGCACATAAGGTTTAAGTACGGTTGAGGCCTCGATAATTTCGAAATGTTCATCAGCGCCTGAGGCTGTGTGTGCGGTATGTTGGGGAAACATCTAGGCAAGAGCACCCTTTGTAAGCCCTCACGTGCAGTAGACCCCCCACTAAAATATGTAGCCCATAGTACTTGCAAGAAACCGCTCACTGAAAAGTAAAGGGAAATAGTAGCGAAGGCCAGCAACAGAAACCTCGTCGTGCGTCCCCGCCCACAGGGGACTACGGCAGATCTGTGAAGCATGCTAGCTCCGCACTGCTGAGCCTATTCTTTGAGATTTATATTGAAAAACATTTGGTGGACAGAGTTTTAAGATAGCACGGGTGTCAAGCGGCAAGACCAAGCATGGGTTATTCCTGAAAAGTACTGGGGTGGTGGGCGACGCGGTGACCCAGCTGTAGCCGAAATCTGGTGCAGTGGCTTCCCCGTGTCCTGTGACACATGGTAAAAATCATACAGGCGTGAATTCCATCGAACAGAAGCTCCCGCATAAATGGGAACGCTAACTGAGCGCCGGCGTAGTGGACCAACCCGAGACAGCTTGGTAAGGATGAGCATGCAGCCACAGCAGTACACGCCTGCATCGTTTATTACGAAATACAGCATATCTAGCCCAGTTTTGAAAGAAAAATACACTTCATTCTAAATATAGTGCTACAAGGTGAACATAAATGGGCAGGCAATTGTATTCCTTTTCATGTGCGCATGCATTAGCTGTACAGCTGCACTAGGTCTAGCTGAAAAAGAATACATTTTTTGGGGTTTACCGACACTTTTTGTGCCTGACCTACAGCCAAAGCTAAGCCGACGATTGTTTCTTACATGAACACATGTGAACACGCATTTATCTGTAGATCTGCAACAGCCTAAAAGCTATCTCCACTGGATGAAATAGAAAGTCGGCCTCATTGAAAAGCCTGCAGCTTCTTCTGTGTTTGATGGCTTGCTATGCACAGATAAATAAAAAAGGTGCGCGCATCGATATTACGCGGATCATACATGAAGACACGAGAGATGCTTCTCTACTGTATCTCTATGTTGTTTTCCTGCGTAGGTGTAAGTCCGTCCAAATCTAATATCCACATCTCCCAACATAGTTCTTCATGCAGTAATAAAGTTACAACAACACTGCAGTTGTAGCATGGTTTTGCACGTGTACAATGAAGAGCCACAACGAACGACTTGCCGTGCGGTGCATTTTGGAAATAAAGTAACAAGTCGCCTTGCACGAATCACTCTGTGTGCTGCGAGGCCTCGGAATGACGCTGGCGCAGCGAAAAACTGGAGCTTTTAACACATGATTTATGCGTTCTAGCGGCTCAGACTGGAATGAATGCGGTGATTTGGTACCCAACGGGCTACCTACGTATGCCGATGTTAATGAAAATGCATACACCCATTCGTAATACATAATTCGCATAGTGCTAGCTATATAAGCTCATTTTTGTACATACGGGTGCTTACGCGTAGAAAAAAATGAATCTTCACGTAACAACAGTGCCACGCCACCTCAAGAAAGTCAACAGTTCCAGTTGCGCAGTTTAAGAATGAGCCAAGCTGACACAATTGTTGTTTGCCGTGCCTTGCTTGTACTGTATTCCTTCTATAAGTATTCCTTCGGAGCTTCAATTGTTGAGTGACTCGATGTGCTGAGGTTCATGTTTATGGTTGCATGTAGGGTTACCACATGCATGCACAGAAGCTTAATCAAGTGGAAAAGCTGCCGGACTCTACAGCTTTCTGCTCTTGGTTCAAAATTAATTAGGCTCCTTGGCCTCTGATTATGCTCTGAAGTCTAGGCTTTAATGATTAGGGCCTAGGGTTCAACAGCTGTGCCGAACGTGTTGCATCACACACTACGGTGCTTCGCTTTACGCAATTTGAATGCTATGCGGCTCCGCCAACATCCAAGATCATTGCAACGCCCCCAAGGGTCCATTTAGCCGGCAGTTGCTTTGTTCTGAGTTGGGCGTTGAAGACAAATGTTGGCCCACGCTGCTCTGTTAGATAGACGGGGCAGATGTACGTGCTGTCGTCTTCGCGTTTCATCTCTAGGGACGCCTAAGAGCAAGAGGGACAAGTTAATTCGACAGAACAAATCGCAGCCAGTGAACCTTTGGCCGGTCCCACTAAGCTGGACTGCTTGCGCTGTGTGCTCCCAGGCTTCAATATTCTCGACTTTTCCTCAATGTTTATGGCTCAAAATTTGCCTACCTTGCAATGAATCACAGGCATGGGGAAAAATAACTCTTTTGGTTTAGACTCTGCCAAGCAACCGCCTTGGACGTCCCATCGTGCGCCGTCAAGGTACAAGCCAGTCACAAAGGCTCCTGCACAAGTGCAACATTCTAGAATGTGCCATCCTGTGGGTTCTAATACTTCACGGCATATGCACAAGCCACGAGGGCGCATATGCTGGAAGGTTGCTGGGGCTTTTGTGAGGGGAATAAGCTACTGGAAGACAGGGCAAGGTTGTACATCTGCGGCACAAAGCTGACCTTCACGCGCCGGTGCGTCTATGGATGCCACGTCTTTCTTTGTGACAGTAGTGAGCACATTAAGCTTATTGAGCTCTAGGTGGTGCTGCTGTGAGCAAACTTCTTTGATGGCAGTGAGAAATGACTGCGGGCTAAATAGCCGGGCCAAGTTCACGACCTTTGGAGTGCTGGTAGGGTCCTTTGTCCATTCCAGCAAGTGCTCATATCGAAGTTTCACATCTGCAAACCACGAACCTAAAGGCCGGCATGATGCAAAAGAAACCTAAGGGCATGACACGCATACAGAACTGCCTTTGCGCTTATTTGCTCTGCACTCTACTGGCGACGCTGCCGTTGCTAGCACGAAGAATTGGAGGTCCCAGTCTCCTACTCCCTGAAAGATAATCTGAGACGCTCAGTTCGTCTCTCCGAAGAAAAGTGTATATTCACATCAAGCTAAAAGTAATAACAAACAAACAGTAGTGCTGGTTGTAAATGCTTAGAAAAGGAATGTTCACGTTAGCCTTAGAAAGCACTGACAGGCATGTTATTAGCAACTAAGGTGCATCTGCAACAACTTGAGGTCTAGAGCAGCTCGAGATGAGGCTTAAAACACTGTTGGAGACAGTAGGCAATGCCAGAAAAACGTACCTTCATCCATATGCCCGGCACTCTGCTCATGCGGATATCCTCCACGAGTTCTTCCATGGCCGCCGAGAATGTCAGTTCTCCTTTGAAGCCCATTTCAATTTCAGTAAGAGATCTTGCTATTTCCCTAAGGAGGACATTCATGTATTGGCATTCCTGAAGAGCACGACCCAGCAAGAGAGCAGCTGCGCACCACTCTCTCACCTTCAGAGCTGGCAAATCATCATGCTAGCCTTCTGTGCCAACGCAGGTGCATTGTAGCCAGATTGTAGGTGTTGCTTCTGTTACTGCTACATTGGGGAATGCACCTGCAGGAATACGTGCTGGTAGGGACCTTTTTCTTCGTCTGGGATAGCTTGGCTGATTTCTTCCACATCAAATCGGGCGTCACCGACCTCGTCCAGTAGTTCCTTACAGAGCTGCAAAGTATGCAAGTGGTAGAAATTACAGGGAGAAGAAGAAGCGTGTTTGATTCGGGTCGACAGCTATCCAAGGAGAGCATTTGGGTGCCTAGACTGAGCCCGGTTTTATACATATCTATACCGGCATTTGGTGTACTCCTCATGCGCTGCCGTGCAGTGAACGTCTTACCGCTTCACCTTCTAGTTCCACGCCACCTTTGTTTGCTGTGGCACCGCTGCTGGTTCCCTCTGATTCCATGAGGGTCTTGAAAAGGTCTTCACATTGCTGGGTACGATAGCCTATTTCAGTGTTCGGATGCAGCCCGTAAGCCAACGGCGTTTCCGGTGGCATAGATGCTACACATTCCATGTACCTGATGAAACGATTGGTTTGATGAAAGACACTGATCATAGTGATGAAAAACACCTATTGACGACTTTTGCAGTAGTTCAGCCTTATTTACAGCGTGCGTTATGGACAGTACCTTTCGTAGCTCTGTGCAGGCGGCGTCTTGTAGGAGGCCCCTTCGTGCTCTTCACAGAACGGAAATAGCTCAGTTTCGTCTAGAAGTCTATCCTGAAGGCAAAATCTAAGCAAAGGCGTTTTGCTAGCCCTTCGAAAGTCTGTCATATATGCAGGCTAGTTAGCAGAGCTTCCAGATCAAACTGGTTTAGGCTTCTCTGTAACTAAAATGGCACTTAAAAGCTGTTTCCAGTTTCGCTAAACTTGCCTGCATGTAGAAGTTCAAGTAGGTGTTGCATACGAGGCGGTCCCTAGGGTCAATGATGTGGCCGCCGTACATAATCTCGCCGAAGATGTATTTGAGATCATCCCAAGGAACCCTGGTGCCCCCTTGTTGCTGCTCCATGTAGTTCATTAACACCATGGCGGAGTCTCTCAGATCGCCCATCGAGAACGGATAATTCAAATTCCAGCCTCGGGTGCCAAACCTCTTGCGCTCAAGCAAGACAGCATGGAAGAAACAAAGGCCAAATATGATTGCTTTGACCTGAAATCACAGAAAGAGGTCCCATTTTATTAGAGCCACTATCGCCTGTATCAAATGGATGAGCCATTATGTCTGAAGGATATATCAATTTGCAAGGGCGAGTAAAAACACCGTCATCAACAGGCAGCACCTTTTGGTCTTTTTCATCAAAATCGTCCTTGGGGAAGCAAGCAAAGGCACGCTTCAGGTTGGCTTGGAGGCCTTGGGGGGGCTCATTAGTCAATTTAATTGACCGGTCAAGGATTCCGACGGGAATATAGTCGCACAATTCAGATGAAAGAAAACAGCGGAAGTTAGGGTGTGGTCCTTCCGCAGAAAACGAATCTAGCTTTTTCTCAAGCTCCACTGTCCATCTTGGCATCAAATGGATGTTCTGGAGAAGGACCCAATGGCCCTCCTTGTGGCCTAGATCCAGCTTTTGCATCGCCACAACATCTTGACCCTGATCAGTCACAATCGCAACAGACCTTCAAGGTTGTCTCCTATATTTCGGAAACAAGCTTTATCTTCGTCGCAAGAAGCATCACAAAAGAAAGTGCCTATCAGGCGCCGAAGCATGTAATCCTTGTGAAGTATTTATCGGGTCGTGGTTTTGTTGTGCAGTGTATCATGCCTGCCCTAATGCGACGTTGTGCAGGTTGAAGTTTGCAATGTATCCCATCTTCTTGCCTAGGGCTTCAATCTCCTTTACGGGGTCAGCCCCTGGGGAAAGAATGAAAAAGATTGGAGTTGTGGCCGTAGATTCCTCGAAGGACGATTCAAAAATTTCATAAAATGATAGCGCAGAGTCTCCATCTAAATACTGCCCCCCGTATGGAAGCATTGTGCGAATATAATCCGAAATTGCTGCAGTCAGCCGATCAGGCCGTAGGCAGCGCAGCACCTGAAGGATATTGATACGTATAATCCCGCCTGTACGAGTATATATACAGCGTCATTTCCGTTGTCCTGACGTGCGTAAATGCGGCGTGTAGATATTAGTCCGTCTTACGTGGTGAAGCACCTACCACGAGCTTTTTGAATGGCATGTTGTCAAGCGCCTTCCAGTCAAGGGGCAACTTGACTTTTTCTGGTTGAAGCTCTTGGAACCATTCTTTGAACCTTGAAGGCGCGTCCTTTTGCATATTTGTGGCAAATGACTCAAAACCGGGAAGCTCTATGAGCTTTTGCACTGCATACCAAGCCTTGTTGGGCAGCCAGTCGGCAAGAGGGTTTTCGGGTACTTGCTTTATGGGTCCTTTAAGCAAGAAATCCATCAACTTCGCGTCAAATTGGTCCTTTAGGCTCCCCTTCTGCAAGAGCTGGAATGTTAGCATGATCAAAAACGACAGCTTGTGACGCTCAAACAAGCCGCGCCCCACCCATATTATGACTGTCGTGCGAATCGAAGTGACAAGTTCTGTACAGCGTTCTTGGACTGTCTCGCACACTTTAGTCTTGTCGATAGCCTGCAAAGTTAGGGGCACGCACTGCTTTGGATATTCCACTGATCCATGATCTGCAATACTTCCCATCAAAATCTAATAACTGACAAATTTATTTCAGACAGAGGGCTTACCGAAGCGATTCAACATTTGCAGTAGTTCGCAGACACCTGCATCTGGAGCTTACCTTGTGCACAAATGTGATGAATGAGTCCAGCGAATACTGGTACATTGGGTTAACACTACGGAGCCGCGTGAGCACAAAGTACAGCATCGACGCCTCTGATGCTGCCCTACGATAGGCTTCACGACTCCTGTTGATTTGCTCCTCTCTCTCTTTTGCTACAACTTGCTGCGAGCATGTGCCAATATGAATATGAGGCAAGATATGTATGTACTTGTGTATAGGTGCAGCTAAGTTACACATGCAACCCAAAGTAGCACGATCAAGCACAAGTGTTTAAAGACCGAAAGACATCATCACGAACATGCTGCCTTGAATTCGAAGGACTTAGGGTGTATCAGCTGCCTGCCGGGGTTTTCCTGCTCGAAAAGCCAAATCAACTATCTTTTCTGTCTCGCATTACACTGTGAGCCCTAAGCCACAGACATTAATTTGTACAGTTAAAATTAGAGATCCGGAAGCAACTGTATAAGAAGATAAGTAAGGTCCGTGATGTGTAAAGTCATGTTGCAAGGTTTCGTTTAGTCTCTAACCTGTTCCTGTATTTCCTTGGCTGTCCGCTTCGTTTCCTCTAGGCTCTCGACAAGTGCTGTATTCGCGAGGATAAGCTCAGGATCTGCATTTGAGAGCTCAAAGAGAAGCTTGTCTTCAAGCTGGGCCAGGGTTACCTTGAATTCATTTTGCTTTCGAGTGAGGGCTTGCTTCGATGTCTCGAGGTCTGGCTGCTCAGCGTTGACAATCATCGCCAGGAACTGCTCCTCCAGCCCCTCAGGAGTGACCGTGAAGTTTACCAAAGTGCATTGGGCTGCGATCTCAGGCTTGTAATGCGGGTTAGGGAGCTTTGTTTGCAGCAAAAGGCGAAACTCGGTGTTGAACTCTATATCTTCCCCTGCTATCTTTACGTATAGCGTACGGCCCTGAAACATACAAAAGTTGGATCTGGCAGAAGAAATATTGCACCCGTACGGTATGAACTGCAAAAGGAATTGACAAAAAGAATTTATTTCCCCACTTTCTGCATCGAAAGCTGCATCTCAGGGTACACTTTACAGCTCTGGAAGCCATGCGCAAGACTTTTCGGTCCCAAACCCTTTTCCCCGACACAGCGGCAAAAAAGACCTGGCTATTTCCTTTGTTTGGTCACCTTTCTGGAGACGGCTCGAGATAAAATGGGATCTAGGACAGGATCGATAGACTCGGTTAGGTTTTCTATTAGGAGGGTGTCGCCATTTCGTATTGCATCAATCGTTTTGGTCAGCCAGCGGTCACGATTTACAGACACTGTTATCAGGCTTTCGTGAGCTCTCTGCTTAACCCAACGTGTCCCTTGCAGCTGCGGGTCCACCAACAAAGGCCACCTGGGTTAACAGAGAAACGCAAACAGCTCTAGTTGAACTTGCTTGTAGTTCCAGACTCTCAGCTTAGTCCACGTGATTTAAGGCCGTAACTCTGGCGCACCGTGAACATAGGTATTGAAGTACATTATGCGTAGATGATTACCTAAGGCAGGATGTGACAATCGCTGCGTTTTCAATGGAAATGCGATCCGCAGGCAAGCCTTCATTTTTCCATAAGGCGATATCTGCCTCGTCTGCCAATACCTCCAAAGGACTAACAGTGGGTGTAAAGGGTATATTTTGCTTCACGAGGTCAGCCTTCCATTCACCCTGGAACCACAGGTTACAAAGTTATGCAGCAACCACATCAGCAAGTTACGCCACCAAGAGATGCACCATCCAGCATTTATTGTGCGCCAAGAGCTATGTGTGTTGCTTGGAGGCAGATGCTAAGATCTCTTGAGTATTGGCTTAATGAATAGCATATCAGCTGTGAGCTGCTTCTGCGCTTTTATGTTTGTACCTCAATGAGCCCGACTCGGAAGGACGCCGAGAAGGCTCCCGCGTATGAAACGAAAGCTGCAGCCAGAAGGTAATCTCCGATGACAGTCATTTTCGAGGATTCCAGCTCACCCATGGCCTGCGTCCATCTCGCATTCTCGTCTGCCAAACCGTTGACCAGCCGCTCTGCAAGGTCTAACTTCAACTGACACTCTTCGGCCTGAGCTACGACTCCACGACGGTCGTCATCAGCTTCTTGGAGTTTTTGTTGCAGTTTCGCCACTTTTTCTGAACATTGAAGCAAGGAAATATACTACGGAAATCCAATGTTGACCTGACGCCGATAATGCACAGAGCCAGCGCTTGTAGACACCACCCAAGGGGTTTCGCGAGCTGGAACAACTTGAAAGAGCTTCCGTTTTTTTGGTTCGCCAAACAGTGTGTCTAGCGACTAGGCTGTACCATTAATTTCTCGAACGCGCTCCATTACTTGAGCCAGGTTAGAGTCGGCTTTGGCCTTGGACTCGGTGGCCTCTGCAAATTTATCCATCAAGGGTTTTACTTTGCGGTAGATGGTGTTGTACGTGACAATATTCACCACCCAGTTTGCAAGGAATGCGGCAGCAAGTGACTTGCTCTTCATAACTTCAAAGTTGAAAAATGGCTGGGAAATTATCGGAGTGATTGCATTAACCGTTTCCTCCGTCATGTTCTCAGCGTCAAATGCGCGAACCTGTAAGGATATCCACACGGAATTACCTCGCGTAAGGCCGGGCTATAATGCTCCCGGGACTTCGCTTCATACTTGATGATTCAGCATGTTCTTCACAAACTTTCGGGGCTCTGAAGTTTGGGCACAAAAGGTTCAATACAGTGCCGCTCGTGTGTATTTGTGTCACCGCATGTCGTTTTTACTTGTTCCAAGAATTTTCCAGGGTCGCTCATCATCTTTTGTGCCGCCTTCCATTCTGTATTCTTCCCTGCCCCCCTCATTATCAGCACAGCCTTAGTAACCTCCAAACATTCGGCTGGGGGTTTCGGTAACGATTTGAGCTCCTGTATATTAAACACTCAGCCAGCGCTGTTGTTTCAGAATAAAGCAACTATAGACTAGAGTAACTACTGTGGAGTTCATCCACGTAGCACATTTAAGAAATGTGGAGAAGTACGCTTGAAGGTCTAGGATTCGGTCTTACCTGGATAGCAGGTTTCGTAAGGCACTTGACTGCTTCTCTGGCTCTCTCCATCGCTGGCATTGCTTCTGAGAGTTCTTCGTCAGCTTTCTTTTGTATTTCTGCCGCTTCTTCACTCAGGGCGTTTGCCTTATCTTTTTCTGCGTTCGCAATTTTGGCCTCCTCATCAGCAATTGCTGAGGCCTTGAGGACCTGTTCAACCAACGCGTCAGCTGCTGCTTTCTTTTCGTCTACCACGATCATTTTCTCCTTTAGGTCTTCCCTCAGCCCCTCAACCTCTGCCGTTGTTTCCTTCAAAGTAGTCAGACCTTTAAGCAGCCTGTTGATGGACTGATTCGCTTCCTCTCTTTTGCGACTGAGAAATTGTTTGTAGAAAACAATCAGCTCCAAGAAAGATTTTGGCGTAGTGTAATTGTAACGCCTTTCTTGTCGCAAGAAATTCTCATTCGCCACATCTATGCTCAAATGCACGTTTGCCATGTGCTCCGCCAACAATCCGCGTAGCTCTTCAGCCGGGAGTTGCACGTCTGCAGCACCGTGCTCAAGAGTTACGCATTGATATTATGCTCTGATTGCCGGTGTTGCTCCCATTGCAGCAGCTTTTGCTGTAGCGGAAAATGGTTTTGACTAGATAGCATTGCTCGCAAACTAAAATAGTTTATTCTGGTATTTTCTGCAAACATTTTGTTACTTGCCCTTTAGGAATACCGCTCCTGTCTGCACCAGCGCATCTCGCGACCAAGGATGGAATTCATCCACTGTCGTCCCTGAAATTAAGCCTGGGAATTTGCGGGCTCGAACTCTCAAATGCTCGCCTACAGGTGAGTGGCAGATAATAACGTGCACGTTTGTCTGTACTTTGTCCGTAAACACTTGCCACATGCCTTCCCTAGTATTCCCTGGAGCCCCAGGCCTGATTTGCTTCCTGCGGTAGCAGTGGCGCACCGTGGGGAGTTAACCTACTAGAGGATGCAGTGTGCAAATTGAAAATTCATCAATTAAGCTTGCTGCTAGCGATTGAGCTGCCTCTTGCTTGCAGTGTTACCTGAGGACTGTGAAGATCTGCTCATATTCGTCCCTTGTGAAGAGGTCGGGAATGTTTCCTGAGGCTAAGAGGTCGTTGACGTAGACCAGCAATTGTTCATCTACGATCTGCTGATCTGTCAGCAGGAGCGCATGGGGAGTCCCAGGACGCACAATGGCTTTGTTCATCAATTCCTGTGATGACGCCGGCAGGCAAGGCACACACTGATGGCCCTCACTGATTGATGATTATTTTGCAGGGGTATTGAAACGAAATGAAAGCAAAGGAAGCTCCGCTGCAAACTGCTGTTGTCTTTAGAGAAGAAAGATAAGCTCTTTATCCATGCGCAGACGTGGAGCCCACCTGCATGTCTATCTTGAAGGCAGCGCTATCGTAATGCTGGCTAACGACGATCTGGTACGTTTCAACCTTTGAGATAAAGCATGCTAGCCGACTGAGGCTTTGTTTGCCGCTGCCTCCAACACCGACAAGTAGGGCGTTGCCCCCGGGAACGTCTATTATTCTACATATGCGCGTAACATGTAAAATGGCATCATCAAAAAGAACCAAGTTCATCTCCGTGTATGTTTGCGAATACTCTTCAAGCTTCTCCTGCAGGACCTGCCGCAGCGATTCCTTGTCTTGAACAGGCATATAAACCTGCATACGCACAGAACAAGTCTGATTGGTTGAAAAATCTTTCGATCTAAGTTTCAAAATTGATCCTGGCAATCCAAAGTCACCTCTGGACGCACTCCTTCGAGCAAAAACCCCCTAGTTAGGACAAAGTTACCCGCAATTCAATGAGGAAAGCACAGGTCACGTAATTCGAAAACTGATGCTGCTTAGGCCATTCTGTGACATCTATTATACGAGTTGTGAGTTAGTAGGAGCCCGCGGCTCACAGGATCATTGCCGGAGGCCTCGGACAAAAAGCTGCACATGATATTTGGGGCTGCATGGATTTGTTCTTGATCTTCATCAGGAAAGTGCTTCTTAACAACAACTTTGATGATATTGTCGAGCGCATTCATATCGCTTTCCGATATCAGTCGATCTCGAAGCACTCTGTTTGCCTCATGGAGCCAAAGTCGGATTAGCTTCGTAGTACCGCCCACTGTTTGTCGGTACATGGAGGGAGTTGACCTCAGCACCCCTCTAAACATGCTGGAGAGGTCGCGTAGGTTGAAGTTGTAGTGGAATTTTTTTGCAGAGTGCAGAAACGTTGGATCGGCACGAATTTGTGCAAATAGGTCTATTGTGGCCTGCAATACGGGTCCCTCTAGCTCTGCCACGGACGGGTCGAATGGCAGGAGATGCTGTTTGAGAATGCTGCCATAGATGCGACCAATAGTCTCAGCGTCAGCTTCGAAACAGGTAACTACTGAAAAGTGACGCTGAAGCCGAGAGCTGATATTGAACGAACCAGCGGTGGGATTCATGCACGCCATATACTGCACGTCTACCACATTCATCTTGTCTTCCAAATGGCTGCGGTCAAACATACTACCGTAGTCCATAAGTTGCCGCAGTAGCTCTAGTGGAGGCTGGGTATCGTATTTATCGACGTATGGCATATTCAAGTCGTCAATGAAATACACTATACGTTTATTTCCCACGGGTCCGTAAGTATGGCCGGTGCTGCAAGTCAAACAAATGCAATAAAATGCAGTATCGCTTCTCATGCTCAGTAGTTGCATTGCAACGCCAAGAAAATAGCTTTTTCAGCCTCTGCCCACCGTTTTTCAATGTTGGACTCCAGAATATTTTGCAGCATCCGTGAGTCCGTGTAGGAATTAAGATTGATTGTGGCGCTTTCAAAATCGGGGGGCAAGTGGCGGAAGAAGTCCTATGACAGAAAAGTGATTAATGCAATTTGCACACAATGTGCCACGTAACTAAAGGGTTTCGGGTCTTCATTTCAAAAAGGGTGACTAGGGACACGGTAAGTCACAAGAATGATATCCAAGTATTTCGGTAACTGTTGCAGAGCTGCTTAAGGGAAACCTTAAGAAATGGCTTGTCCATATCTAGGACTGTATGCATCTTTCAATTACCTTGATAATGGTGCTTTTTCCAGAACCACAGGAACCAACAAGCAGAACGGCTCTTCCGCGCTTGCAGAATAGTTCATTTACGTAGTTGATGCTGCTCACCAACAACCATAGTATGGCGAAAGCTTTAGCCAAGCAATTAGAAATGTGTTTAGCATTTGCAGGTCCTTCGACAGGGCTTCAGTGACTGCACCATGCATCTTCGCTTACCGAAGGGTGTCTGTCGTGGAGACTATGATCTTGTTAAACAACATCTCTGTTACAGGCTCATAAGGCTTCAATTGAGAACTCCACTGCACCCACTGGCAAGTCGATTCTTCAAAGTAATAATCAAAACAAAGGCCATTTTCTGGGAACTTAATGCGCGCAGCGGCTCGTAACCAGTTGCTGAACTGGGCCCTTAGCGCAATACACACGCACAGAAAGGCACGGACAGTACATGAAGGGCACAATACCAATCCCTGGGGAATGGGCGAAAATAGCAGTCCCTGCAAAATCAGCCCAAAAAGAATATTTGCAGGTCTGTGCTCTACCTGTAGTTGAGAGCTTTATCATCTGCTACACAAGCTCCAACTGTCCACATCAAGGCCGATAGGAAATAGCCTTCATATGTGAGCTTCTGCTCATCGACGCTTTTAGCCTTAAATGCGTCTGTTGTGGCTTTGTTGCGGCAAAGGAGCGCATCGACGAATGTACAAATGCCCTCGACAAAAGCAATGTCTGTCATGGGGCAGACAAACTTGAAGGTACGATGAAACATCTCTATGTTCTGCACAACGCGAAAAACCTTACAGCACAGCACCTTTAATTCAGTACGCAAGGGCTCGCGTTCAAGGGCTACGGCAGCTTGCGATTTTTGTTGTGGGCTCTCAACCTCTGAGCTGTTGATCTGCTTCGACAAGCGACACGTAGGCACTTTGGACTCTAGCAGGGCAAGTGTAGCCGAACTCTGCTATTTCTTTCTCTCCCCTTCCTGTCTGTTCAGTGAAGTGTCGTGGAGAGTTATTATGTCATATACTTCTTTCTGAAACAAAAGGAGTGTTGATTGGGGAACCAAACCGCTGAATAAATATGCCTAAAACAGGTGACTTGTACTCTATTGGAGTGATCTGCTGTGCATGTATCTATCATATGTTTGCGTATACATGCATATTGTGTTTTGTACACAAGATATTAGTGCATTCATATGTATTTTTACGCGCAGGTCCTTACCGATTCAAAGTAGTAAGAAAACAGCAGATACAACTGAGACTGTGCTACTTGGTCACTGAGCGTTTCCCTCCAAGAATCTACGAAGGGTTTCCACCCAACGTCGGTCTCGTTGATGAATACCACGCCTCCTCTTGAGACAGTTGCTGGACTTGCATGCTTCATATCCGCGATTTCAAATATCATTCTCATTGTCGGAGTGAACGGAATTCGTTCATTGCTCACTAGTGTCAGCACCTGCATAGCAATTTTCAATTCTAGAGAATTCTAGAGGCTTGTGGCATTTGCCGCAACTCTTCTGTTCCTAACTGGTCACAAGCTAAGATATGTGCAATCATAGTTGTGAAAATGGCTTCACTTGAGGCGCCTGCTTTCCCCAACTTTGTTATAGCTGAAGTGCGATACGGCTTGTGCATATAATTTCTGTCCAGCTAGTACGCGATTGCTCCTAACTATCCTACCTTGTTGTCATCCATGACAGTGTTCATGGACTCAATCCACTCTGCATCTATGTCACCATCTAAAATAATCCACTTGTGGAGGTGGGAAGGTTTAAACCCTCCACGCTCTTTTGACATATTCCGCATTATGACGGCTACCGCTCCATCTTTCCACTCCTTGGCAGGGGTCATGTACCTGATCCACACACACTGCCATACCATAGTAATGCGCTCCTTGAAAACAATGCTAACAGCGGCAATATGTTAGAAAGTGATGGGGGAAATATTCACAGTAAACGTGCAATTCATATGCTGGATTGGGTGGAAAAAGTTCCACTTCCGTCTCATCACGTGGTGTAGCGCGTGCCAATCAGAATAACCTGTGAAGTGACCGTGACCATCATCAACAGTAGTCATAATCAGAAAGCTAAATAGTGGTGATGATAGCATTGCACTAGCAGGAGTGCTACTTGCTTATTCTTCTGCTAATGAAGCCATGCCCATATGTACATGGGGAGTTCGTATTTGAACAAAACAATTGCAATTTTATCGACGCCATGAGTAAAAGCATATTCGTGAGCAGCATAACTGTTATTGCCATTTCTAACACTATTGCTTTTCTATCTTCTGGCTTAAACCCTAGAGCATCTAATGTTGTTTTCCGCCCACCCGTATAGCTCATTTGTTGATATGGCTTTGGGGTTCAATACCTCCACCACCCCATCTTCCCCAATCGCCTTCAGCGCCTTCGAGAGCGTTTGCCACACCCGTGATTTGCCGGCCCCAGGAGGACCGAGAATAAATAAGCAATGTCGTACCTGAGGAGAGATATACTGTCTATGGTTCCGGGGCTCGCAGCAAGCTCCAAACCCCGTGAACCGCCCTCTAAAACCAACGACGGTTCCGTCTCTCCAGGGCACTTGTCTAGAGGCGAAGGGCTTAGGATTAAGAACGCACTTGTATGGCCTCTCGAACTTGGACGCATTTTAAAATGAATTGTTCCTCGCATTGCAATTTTTGAGCCTTTGTCACTGCCATAACCACTTTCCAGAAATCGACATCGCGTTTGGGCGGCGACACGACACCAGGGAACAGATCCTCGATAAGACGCAGGAATATGGGCTTGTCTGCAATGGAAGAATTCAATTATACAAAGAAAACGGGCACCCTCTGTGACGGGCAGACATACACGCATCTACAATGTTCATAATTATACACGGATTTCTGTTTCACACTGTGCAAGGCGCATGTAGTGGTATGCAAATTGAATTCATATTCATACACATAAATATGTACATATAACCGTGGGCAGCGTTTCTGGAGTTCTTCATTTTGCGCTGCTTCTTCTGTTTTTCTGTATCTTACCTTCACTTGTTATTTTCGCAATATTGAAGTCTCTCAGTGCCCTCATCAGCAGCGTATCTTCATTAACATTAGGGTCGGCTCTCTTGAGTGAGCCAGCTTGCCGCAGCACAGCCTTGACTGCTCGGAGACCCCAATCATAGTGTAAGGCATCTGATAGTAAGGTTTTACACAAAGCATAAAGGGTCACAAACTTATGTGCTAAGGCGCGGGCCGATACGAAACCCTCTGACATCAGCATGTTCTCGCAGATGAACAACACGTCAGGCACGATCATTGCGCAGGGCCTGTACGACGAAGACAAGGCGCACCACAGATAACAATCGTTAATGCGCAATGAAAAGGCTCCAGATTAGAACGCACGGATCCCTAACAGCGAGCACTTCGCCTTAAAATTTAAAGGCTGCACATCGCGAGTCGTGAGGCAATACCCTATAGCGCCACCACTAGGCCTCAATTTACTTAGCAAACGTTGAGGTGGTCTAATCAGAGAAAAATGAGCTACTGTAACATGACTGCGGGCTCATGTTTAAGGATTAGGGGATAGGAGTGAAGACTTGATTTGCCTGAAAAGTGACTTGAGATTCTCTGGTAGTTCTGTTCTGCCGGCGTAGCCTGGATTCATGGTAATAAATACACCGCAAGTTTTGACAAGATTAATCTCATCGTCCATGAATTGAAACCGTTTCCTTCCTTCTTTCATCGCGTCAAGTATGCACTTGACTTGCGTAGATACCACAGAAAGCACCTCAATTGAAATTCGATTGAACTCATCGAAACACCCCCACGCCCCCGACTGTGCTAGCCCCATGAAGATTTGCGCCATGGACAAATAGTTCATCTGATCCGAGCAGTTAAATACAAAGACGGGAAGACCTATTGCCCTGCTGAGATCCTTAGTTGTTTCTGTCTTCCCTGTGCCTGCAGGGCCCGCCGGGGCACCTCCCATGGTCAAGTTCAGAGCCTGCGTCAGGGTTATGTAGCAGCGATCGGTTAAAGGTGTGATAACGAGCCGCCCACAGTTGCCGACAAACTCATGCATGTAAGTGGTTGTCCAGTCACACATTTTAATAACGCAATCTTTTTTATTTTCTCCTGGCTTTTGTCCCCAATGGAAACGCAGCTGAGACTGCCATTGGAAGGATGATGCTGCAACGCATGGTACAAGGATGAAGCATGAAGTGCGTGCATCATAAGGCTAAACTGATTTTAAACAAGTTGACTGGCGTTCACTAAGAAAGGCAGATATGGGTGAAAATGAGCAAACGTGGCTTTGGGGCACCTTCTGAAACCTTCTTTGTTATGAAGCATTCTACGACATCTCTGAGATGAACATCAATAGTAATTAACGTGATAATTTTGGTCCGTAAGCCCATATCCAGGTCCTTTTGGACTTGTCTAATGAGCTTGTCTATGCGATCGTCGTAAATCCTTTTGTAATCCTTCATTGCATTTTCAGATCCCCCTTCCAGTTCCTCAAAGCAGCGGGTGACTTCTTCTGTCCACATTATCTGGCTCGCCACCAAGCACACCTGACTGCAGTAGTCACGGAGCCATTCTTCCCTGCACACAGCAGAAAGTCGAAGGGCATTTTAATCTCAAGTGCGCCTCGACATGGATACCGATACATGTTTGCTCTTGAATTGGTGCATTCTGAATCTGCGCTTGTACGCACGTGAATGTGAATGCTTGCCTACTCGCCAGTGTACAAATGCGTCTCTCAATACACGATTGCGCCTTTATGTGAATTCACACACTTTTGCTTCCTTTGTACGCATAGCGTATTTTTTTAATCTTAATATAAGTCTAGCTGCACGCGTGTACAAATATCCGCGTTAATGTATGTGTCATCGGGTGGAATCTGAGTAACCGCCATGAGGAGGGAAGCAGCAGAAGCTGTTAACGATCAAAGAGTATCGCACTGACGAATATAAAGTTGCATGAATGCACTTCTTATGCGAACTGCAATAATAGGAGCGATCAGATACAAGAACGCAAAGGCTTTTACGCAATGAAAATCAATGAATTAACGAGTTAAATATTAGACTGAACGAGCGCGTCATAGAAAATAAGAAAATAGGCCACTATAAAGAGTTAAAATGCCGCCTGGGCCAAATCCAAAGAAGCAGATCAAGGCGAACAAGCGCCATGGGAGCTTGAAGAGTGCAACACAACAAGGAATTGGGCAAAAGGCTAGCAGTCAAATGAGAGCAAGTAGATACACGAGCAAACACGGGGACTGGAACGCAAAAGAGCAGGCGCCTGGACACAAAATCGAGCAGATATATTAGCAGATAGTTGCACAAATCTTACCTGGGCTTTTCTACTTCCCAGTTTTCTGAAGTGCCCTTTGCTACCTCCAATATGTCACGCATTTGTTTGCGCATATGCGTTTCAAAGTTATATAAATACTGAAAGGAAACACAATCGGCAAAGGAAGATGAATCGCTGCACTAATACTCCCCAGCTATCATAACCCCGGCGCCTGCCCTCATCAAACATAGAAGAAAAAACAGCAAGCAGAGGTCGCTTTTCCGCGTTTGGGTGCAGTGCTAGAGGCATGCTTAGTTTGTAGAGAGTTCACAGTTAAAGGGTTAAAACGGGGTTGTCACAGTTTAAGGGTTGAAACCTGCGGCGAGCTATTTGAAAAATACGATCTACTGTAAAGCCTCAAAGTAGGGAAAGGAGAAGAAGCACACTTGATTATGCTCTGTGTGAAGCGCTCAATGCGGAGGCTATGGAATCAGCGGCCAGACTTCAGGGATTGCTTTAGGAGGTCTAGACTTAAGGGTATTCTAGGCAAGTATCTTTACTGTTTCGACGGGTCCTTCGATGATGTAATCCTCAGCGAACGGCACATATTCTCCTTCTTTGGAATACATGCCACTAGCAATGCGATATGTTTGCTTATTTTTCTCAAAATTCAAACTTGAAACTCCATCAAAGCAATCACCCAAGTAGTAGGAAACCTTTAAGGGATCGTTTCCGTTTGCCAATATATCCAGGAGAGCCTGATTTGAAACGAAGTAGAATCGAGCAAATGCCTTCTTTTTCTGCTCCAGGTAGTCTGCGACATAACGAAACCAAAGGAGAACCGGAGGCAATAGAAAGTACCGGAATAGAAAATAGGAACAAAGACAAGCCGTGGAAAATGAGAAAAAGCAAGCGATAAAGTTCACATACAGCGGAGCGTCTTGCAGTCACTATACCCCCTTTGCCTGCTGGTGTGAGTAACGACGCATTTTTGATACAATACACTACTTTTAGGGTGAGTCTAAACTGCTGAGCAACATGATGCGATATACTATAGTTTTTCCAGGGGCGTCTGCTGCTCTATACTGCAGTTATGTGACGAAAAACGTGGAATGGTTTAATACTGCCTCCAAGTTTCTACCCAGTTTCCAACTGAACGTGCTCGCTGTAATGAGGACATTCCCATGAATGACAGAAAACGTAAAGATATTGCTGCATAGAGTCCCCTGCAGTATTAATCCTAAGGTTTCAGTACTGTCTCCAATGCACTAAGTTCCTCTCTGAAGCCCGTGTGCTGTACGGTGTGCTATTCGCGGCAATAACAACTTTGAATGTAGCAATTATCTGTACGTTTGGTGCATCATTGTTCATACCTCCTAGAGCCTTCTCGCATGTTTCAATATTCTCCCTGAGTTTATTTAGCAGCTCCTCTCTGCCTTCGGCGTGACAAGCCTCGACTACATTGGGCTGGGCCTGGGCCCCGTACATCATGTCCCGCCACTCGCCGTCAGCACATTCAAAGCGTTTGGAGTCTTGGGGAAGTTGAGAACGGATATCGTCAGATTGCATAAATATGGGTTGCAAACGCTGAAGAATAATAATGAATTATACATGGAAACTTCGGGAAAAGCACAAAAGTGCAACTAAGGACAAAAAGTAGAACAGCAAAAAGCTGAACAAGAATGCCTCAAGTCCCGAAGGGGCGAATTGCCAGATGTACAAGTGAAGCTAGAACGCTGCATACGAGCTAAGCGGCAAACATGAGATACAAAAGGTGAAAAGAAAACGGATATATGGGGCAGAGCCAGCAAAAAACTGATTGAGACGGGGATAAACTTGTGCGGGACAAGACGCCATCAGCTTCCACAAATATGTATCGTAGATGCCTAGACAATGGCAAAATGAAAAATATGAAGTGGAATAATTTTGGCCTGTAACATATATAAGTGGTAGAATGACGAAGCGTAAAAGCTGGGGCTGGTAGAAAGAAATCAGAGAGGAGACGTGCAGATACGGCTTTGCAAAAGGCGTAAAACGTAACAGAGACTAGAGGGAACAGCAAGCAAACAAAATTAACGGCTACCACCCAAAAGACACGGAAAGTCATACCTTACGAGAGGAGGGCAGAGGAGCGCCAACAAATGAATGGAGGAAACAAGCACCAAAGGAAATTAGAAATATATTGGATGGAAGTCGCAGTGAGGTGCAGGATATACAAAGAAAATGGGAGAAAAGCAACAGGAATACAGGGAGAAGAAGAGATTGAATTTAAGAACAACTGACACATCAAAAAAGGGCCTCGTTAAAGCTGTGCCGCTGTTGGCTATTGAAGCCACAGAATTACTCACCTCCCACTTTCTCTGCACTTCCATCCAGACAGTAAGTACAGTGTCGACAGTTCTAAGCTTGAGTTGCCATTCTTCCACTTGACTTCTGCAAAAGTCTATAACGGCCCCCTGGCTTATCATAGTCATTAGATCCACCGCGTGCTGCTCTAAGGTTTCCACGATATCGTCTAGCGGCAGCAAAAGCGGCGTTTCCTCACGTTCCAGAGAAAACACCAAACACTTTTGCTCCCATGTACTTGTTATTTCGGACAACTTTTTGTCTATGCGCGCTTCTTTCTGAGCCAACACAACCACTTCAGAAACGTCAGCAGCTCGCTCGTGCAAATTCAAGTTCAACAGATCTTGCAAACAAAAGCCGGGTCCTGAACAACAATCACAGCAACAATACTACAGTGAATGAAATATATTTAATAACGCGTGCTACGGTTGTACGCTACAGATTTTTAAAATAGACATTCTGAGAGAAAAAGTAGTGCGGCTCACTACTCGCCTGCAGATATCAAACAACTGAAGTTTATGAATGTAATCTCTTTTGAATTGCTCTGTATGTGATCGTAATAAAACTAAAGGAACGAAATTCGATGAGCGGAAGGTCAGCTTATCAACAAGGGAATCAAAAAAGAGCATGTGTGGGTCCCTCACAAACGCCTCAAGCACTTAATTTGCTTTTTGAATC